TGCAAGCTAGTGATTGCAAGTCACTGGCCGTTTATCCTCAACAAAATCGTTTAAAGATGTTGACAATTAACATGTAAACGTGCAGCCCTAGGATCAGATTTCTGTATTTTGGTCATCAAAAGTGCTAGCTCTGCTTATAGCAAAGAATATTCAAAAATATAGAAATCAAGTGTTATATCGAATTCCTATGGTAGCTAAAATCGAGATGTGATAGCCTTTGTAGAAGATAAATCAGGGCTTTACTCAAAGGGAGCACATATAAGTGCTACATACATCGTTTATTTTTTCTACACTATACTACCTGTTAAAGCCGGAGTTTTTCCGAATAATGAATAATAGTTTAATATTCCGAAATAGCAAATTGCAATCCTTCAACGTGCTTTATAGTTGCCAAATTAACTTAATCATTCATATCATTTTTTAAAGCTTACCTTGTACTTTTACCAATCTAACGATACTAAAATTGATACTCTTTATCTGATTTAGGTTTTTCAAGTTAACCGATCTCTCCTAAGGCGATGGATTATAAAACACCGAAGCCGGTTTACTAAAAAGCCTACTTAGAGTCTGCTGTTTATGCCTCAATGTTTGTTCTAATTAGTTTATCATTGATTTTACTAAGTTCAAGCTAAAGAAGATACTTACATTTGCCCTTGATCACATTAAAGGACATAAAGTTATGATGGAAGTTTAACCCAGAATATCGAAATGATTGAGCAATGCGGTACACACAGCATGCCTTTCTACGACTCCGAATCAATCATGTTATTACCATCTTTTATGTACAGCAAAACACATCAACAAGACCACAATGGCAGATGGGAAGAGCCACCCTGAATATTATTTTATATCTCATAAGCTTGTAAGTCCTGTTAGCTATTCTGTACTAGATTGAAGTACATTTAAGCATCAAGAGTAAATGATTCATCTTATATGCTCGCATAAGAAAGGGTGAGAAAATATTATAAAATGTAAAAGGCACAGAAATCATCATGAAAGTTAGGTTGTTACTCTCATAGCCACTCAAGCCTTCAATGGAAAGCCTAATATCAACACAGAAGTTGTCGGACCATGTTTTCGTAACTTGTTCGTAGTGCCAAGGAGACCTCAAGTAGTTCTTATTTTCAATTGTTCTTATCATCATAGATAGGCTCAATACTGGAACGAAAACTTTATTGATAAACTAATAATTTAGCTTATAATCAATTAATAAAAAAATCACTCGTCACTGATCAGAAAGTGACTCTCGAATGATTATTTTTCAACTTACAGCATTGCTGTGCAGCATAAAATCATTTTCGCAACTTAGTCATTTTGTCAGGAAGACCACGATGAATGTACTCGGTCAGGAATCTTTTGTCATAATAGCCATGATGCTTTTCACCTTCGACCCGTGGACTTGGTACAAGCCCAAACATTTCGCCGGTATATTAATTGCTATCTTCAGAGGTTCTTGCCATTCTAAGCGCCAAGCTACACTTCATAAAGGAGACGTGTGGAATCGAATTCTTGCAAAATATTATGCTGGACAGTTGAGATATTTCTGTTTCTCTTATGGCACATTCACCTACCCCATATCCTAGTAAACTGATTATCCTGAACTACTTCACATGTGTACTCTTATAAGCCGATTTATTGAGGCCACACCCTAATCACATTCCCACTCGTTTCCTTTTTCCTTCTCGGAGTTGTTGAGCCAACTTGAACCTTTCCGTTTGTAATCAACCCTATCCAACCCCTATCAGTGCCTTCTCCGAGTTCTCTGAACTCCGTCTACTGTCTCCTTAAATCACTGAATTCACTAAATTTACTCGGCTACCTTCTTATTACTCGCGGTTTCACCTCTCATGATCTGCTCCGTGAGTTTGCTTGCATGTATGCTGTGGCCTTGCCTAGAGAGCTTTCAAAGCTTGGATCCTCAAGATGGATGACAAAATTACTCAACACTGCTTTTCCCCAAATCCTGATTCTGTATGTACTCTGGGTTGGCAGATATCGGACCACTTTGATGATCAACTCCATGTACTGTGAGCCAACTAGTGGCTTGTATATCTCTCGAAGTAAGTCCTGGTCGAACTTGTCTCCTATTACCTAGTTCCTTGCGCGCCAACGTCACCACAGTTGCGGTTTGACGGAACTTACTGTAAACATCTCCTCTCGATCTTCTATTGCCCTCGAGGGCCTTCTTTTTGAGATCCCATTGCTTCCCGCTGAAAATACCTCCTTAAATCACTCGTCATTTTTTTTGCTTAATTTGCTGAAGGGGAAGCTTTCTTATTTATTTTAACCGAATCATGCGCCACCCCGTGGCATGATATTCAACGAGTTGTGCACGACATCTACCATCAATTAGAGGAAATGGGACAACAGTGCAAGAATCCTTAAAGGCAAAACAAGGAATAGGAAGGATATTAGCGACCTTGGAGATGATATTCCAGCTTTAATCTAAATATTTTCCAAATGCATTATCTATGCCGGAGTTAATAAAAATTAGTAATTCAAATTTCTGGTTGGAATTTGTGAGGAGCATGATGGTCTCTGCACATCGTTTATTTGGTGAATTTTTAGTACGATTTAAAAGGAGCACGTTGGCCAAGGCGTTTAACGCAAATAACAAAGCAGAAAGTTTAAGGATGGGTCTAAAATAAAGTTAAACTGTCAAAGTAATAAGCAGAGCAAAACTGAAAGTCAATACATCCTTGGTGAGAAAAAGCAGCTTTGACGATTTCAAGGTGTAAAACGATGTCATCCTGTCTTTCATTGCCAAAAGCAGCAAGTTTGCCTCTACCTTCGAAGAAGTGAGTGCAGATTGTATTAAAATGGGCTATTTTGCACACTTTGCAGAACTATCCAAAATGCAATTGGGCGGATGTTCTGCCCCTTAAGTCTTTTCTCTCAGTCAATCCAGGCTAATGTGACATCCTTGACTAATTCCGTTGACCCTTCCCACCTCCTCTACAGGCCATGGAAAGAGTCTAGTTCGGAAGGACAATATAAAATACAGACACACAGTCATTAAGTCCTAGAGAAGTTGATCTCGTTTACATGTGGATTCTTTGTGCAGCTAATTGGGAAGAAGATGTCTTGTATCGAAGGAAAACAAAAGTAAAAATAAGTCGGGTTTAAAAAACGCAAAAGTCACATTCGATTACGACAATCATGCTTGTTTTTTACAAATTATAAAAGGACAAAGGAAGAAGGCATAATTTACACAAAATGTAAGGGTCATCAGCGGATCAAGTACGAACCCAGCAAAAAAAATTACGAAAATTAGAGGCTGAGTCATAAGAGGCGAAAATGAACTGATAGGTTTACATATTTGAAAGCTTGTGCAAAATATTGGGTCAGTAAACAGGAAATCGTTCAGGTTTGTAAATTTCAAAGTATTGTGTGAACTTGCCCTCAGTGATGATGTAATGTGGCAACGGACTATTCGCCAGGCTGGTAACATTTTCCCAGTTAACTTCCGGCCAGTTGAGTTGAAAACCAATTCGCGCAAAGTTGGGTGGGAACTGGACACTTAGCTGCACCTTTGCCCGAGGTCCACTTTCCGTTTCGGGTTGGCCCTGGTCGCTTGAACCTCGGTGTTGTGTGCCACCTACTCCAGCATACACACTCGAGTTGGCCTCAGCTCTGCACTCGAGTACGTCAGAGTCGTGATACCAGGAGACCCGGAGAATTATGCGACTGTACACCGTGTGGAGTTCTTCGCTGGCGCCTCTAAGTTCTTCTGTACCTGTTAGCAAATATAGAGTAACCACGAACGATGAATGGCCAAGGCAAGTGGGATGAATAGACGTAGCCATGGTG